ACTTTTGAAACAATGGAATAACCTTTGGATTTCATGGAAGCTTAAAGAAAAAAGAGATCTCTGGCAAATGATTCTCTCAAAAATCAGTTAGGAGTTGTGATAACGCATTAAAAACGTTTTTACGTTTATCTTTTAAATTCACGGTGAACCAGGAAAACAGAAAACAATTACAAATAAAGTTTAAAATGAAATAAATTCTTATTAGAGCAACTCGGGGCAGTTTGTCAGGTTTATGAAATACAGTTTTTTAAACCATAAAAAGTTTATAAACAAGACAATGATAGAGGTAATTATTGTTTTGTTTGAGATTTTTTATAGTTATGAAAAATCATTTATCACAGCTGCTTCGTTTCCTTAGAGAATTTATTTTTAATCTACATATTGATATATTAAAATGCTTTCTCTTAATTATGGATCATTTTTATTCCACTAATCTATTTAACAAATTATTTATTTAGTACCATCTAATTAATAAATTATATAAAGAAATGATTTATGTATTTCTACATTTAGGATAATATTTTCAAAACTACCAGAATACGGTAAAATTTACCAGTTTCTGGCTTTATTGAAATACCAAGAAGCTCGGTAATTTTTACCAAAGTGCTTTGGTAGTAACTCTTGTGAAATTATCAATAACATGTTAATATGTGATAATATCTGGTAAATGAGGTAAAATTTGGTAATTTTACCGTGATATTTCAGAGCATATCATAAAATCCATTTGTTCAGTTAAATTTACTTTTCAGTCGAACTGAAAAATTACCAAATTTAAATACCGTATATTTCAGTTCTTATTACCAAAATTGTTTCTTTATTATTATTTATTTCGAGAATATTTTCTCTGTGTATTAATTTAAAGCAAAATAAATGTAGAACTAATATTTATTTCTCAAAATTTAAAAAATATAACTTATTTATTGAACACTATTTGAAAACCTCCGTTCTTGTTTCTCGTGTAACATTGTTTTTTTTTCTCTTAAAAGCCAAAACGCAGCATATTTAGTTTTCGAAGTACATACTTATTGTAGCATTATAGAAGAACATTTTGTTGACAAAATAAACGACAACATTGATTTGAAAAATAATCATCTAAGCTTGAAAAAAATTTAACCTTACGAAAGCTCAATTAAAAGGAATATATGAGAAGTCATTTTACTAGTTGAAGACTTATAAAAATTCAAATGGGGAACAGTTTTTACCGCTTTCATAAATTTTATTTTCATTATTTTTAAAAGTTTCACTTTAAATATTAAGGTTTATATTTGGCAACACGTAATCTTTTTATTATTATTATTATTATTGCTTATTTACTACTTTGGCATTTACTGGAGTGCACTCTTATAAAATAAAGAATGAGTTACTTGCATTCCAAAAAGAAGAAGACAACGTATACCCGCACATAACCTATGACGTCAGAGTCAGTTAATCTTTATCATCAGCAATTTCGCTAAAAAACGTTTTAAGCTGCAATTAATTTTAAACAGATTGGAATTTGTTTTAAAAAAAAAACTTTGGGTTAAGTTTATAAACAAATAAGGTCCTTTCAGCATGCAAAATTTCATCCCTGAAATTGAAAATTTTACTCTGCGACCTATAGAGCGGTCCGTATGGTATTTTTTTCCAACAAGTTCAACAGTGAATGATTTGATTGAAGCAACAAATGTTGAATTCTCTTACTTCATTGTACTTCCTGTACAGTTTCCCGCTCCCTTTATTGTTTTGAAGTTTCTAAATTTATAGTTCTTGCGCAACAAAACAAAATGTGGCACTAAGTTGAACCCCCAAAATATCGGCGTCGTCAATGATCATTACGGTTTTCAATATAGAGAGACATAATGCAATGTTTTTGGAAAAAAAGCGTATACGCTTTTTTCCATGTTTCAACACCTATCTATGTTCTATCCTTCAACACCTTTTTTTTTCTTAAAGAAAAGAAGACTAATAAATTAGACCTAGAGTTATTGCGTCTGACTCTGTTAAGCATAGCTAAGTAAGACTTCTTATTAAAAATCTTTCAACTAACAAAAACACTAAAATGCTGCAAATGAAGATAGTGAAGTGGAAGAACATGTTAAATGATGTTTCAACGGATCGAACAAAAATCTACTGTATTAAGCATTCCATCTTCTTCTATAGTCAAACTTCTTGTATTCTTTTTTAATTAAAGCCAAAGAAATCAACTTAAAAATTCAATCAATTTATAAGTTTGGAAAACTAAACTGTAAAATCAAATTAGCTGATCTTAACTGTAAAGGCACTTTATTTAGATTTATTTTATGCTTGGTGAAATCATAAATATGCATTTAATTTTTTTTTATAATGTTATAAAACTAAATTTAATCTGCTGAAAATCAAACTATAGTTTGATCTTCATTTTCCTCATTATTGTGTCCAACATTTTATTCCATTTTCGTCAAATAGAAAACAGCACAAAAGAGTAATTTCATTCCATTTCACTCCATCCCTCTTCCATCCCTTCAAGAACATTCCTTTTCACATGCATACTCAATTATTTAAGCAACAACATCATAATTTGACAGGTACACTTGGCTGCAGGTATTAACCCTAGACCTCGCCAACTGGCAAAATGTCGCCTCAAGTTTATCGCCAACAGTTTGCTGACAGCCATGACATTAAGTTTGATGCATGAGCATTTTGGGTTGCTGAACGAATAGAGAGAAGAAAAAAAAAAGATCTTTTTGGCGAGGGCTATAAAATATTTGGACCAGACATTTTTAGGGCTGTTGTGAGGTATATAGTGGATTTTCTTTATCGATTTATTGTAGTGCCATTGTTGTCAAGATATTTACTTGATGGGATTTACGCTTTTAGGCAATTAAGTTACCTTTGTAAATTATGTCTCACATTAATTTGCTTTTTTTTTGTCCAGGACAACGAATAGTCTTTACATTTCAGATGCTTACCTTTAGATTCTAAACATTTATCTCTCAAAGCAGGACTTTCACAGAAATCAATTACAATAAATTACAAAGGAAACTTGGTGGTACGGCAAACCATCTGTAATTGATTCAATGACTTTAAAAAACAATCATTGTTACAACATTGTTTCAATCATTGTTATAGATGACGCTACATATGTGTAAAATGAAGAATACCGAAAATTAAGAATTATAATATAATAAAAAATGTACCACTCCGAATAACTTTTGATCTAATGATCATATCTTCACGTTCTAGGACTCTATCTTAAAGGTTTAAAGGGGTGACCTCAATTATGCTAATTAATAAGTGCAGACGATATTTTAAGTTGCGAAATAAGACAGAGAAACGTACTTTCCCTGAAAAAACATACCTTTTTTTTGTTGAAGGATTCGGATTTCTGTCCCCCAAAATATAAGGGTTACCGCAATCAGGGAAACAGGTTTCCAATTGTTTGGTCAGGAGAGGGCGCTTAAGTTTGGACCCCTTAGAGGTAATTTTATTTTTTGCGTATTTCGACATATCTCGAGAACATTTTATGCAAATTCTTTTATTCAAAGATAATTCGTTCTAAAAATATAACTTTTGGTAGCTATTTATTATTTTATTTAATAATAGTCGGGAAAATGTCGAATCGCATGGTATATAACTTTTTACATCATATTAAGGAATATTTTATTTAATAATAGACAAAAATCTTTTGAATCACACAGTATACAATTTTTTTACATAATTCCAAACAATGCAATTTTGAATGGCAAAGTACTAAACTTGAGCGAAAGCAATCGGATTATGGTTAATCGAATTTTGAAAAAGCCGTATTTTTAAAATTCGATTTTTCAAGAATTTCTCCTTCAACAATTAAGTAAAACAATAAAAAATAGTAAGCACTCACTAAAAATTATTTTTTGCATGGGATTGTTTTTAGGCTAAATGAATTTTACAATCAAATTTTAAATATTAGATTTTTTCAAAATTTGATTTCTCAGCAACTATTCGATCGATTTCGCTCAAATTTTACATTTTGTCATTGAAAATTGCATCTTTAAAATGATATAAAAGATTTTATACTTTAAAATTCAAAATTTTTTAGACTGTTATTAAATAAAATAATCATAAATCTGTACTAAAAGTTATATTTATCATGGAATTATCTTTAGATAGGCGAATTTTATAATTGAGAGCAAAAATTTTTCAATTCTCTTAAAAATTTCTCGAGATATAGCGAAATAAGCAAAGAGTAAAGATGACATTAAGGAGTCGAAATTTAGGACTGCTCTCCGGACCAAACTGTCGGGACAATATTTCGCAGATATCAGCTGCATTAAATAATCAGCATATTCGAGGTCACCTCCTCGAACCATTAACCTAGAGTTCTAGAACGAGAAGATTCGATCATTAGATCAAAAGTTATTCTGGGTTTTCCGTTTTTTATTTTACACTTTGCGTGTATATTATCAAGTATTTTAAAATTATCTGACGATTTGAAAAACGGAAGTATATAGAAATGTATACTCTTAACTGCTCTCTAATAAAACAGAAATACTCACAACAGAGGAGCCTTAACTCTAAAGTTCGCCAAAAGATGGTAACTGATCAGTACAACTATAAGACAGTTGTGTTGGATTGAAGATTTGCTATCCGTCAGTATCCATATATGCTTAAAGTCAGGCTCAGCAATATTCTCAACATGTCTTAGGCCATTTTCAATCGCAATAAGCTCAGATCTGAAAACCGAGCAAAATTCAGAATTTCTAACTTTGAATCGATTTTAAGATCGACGAGGGTTTTTCAAAACCTCATCTTTTTTTAGACTTTCTGGACATTTTTGGACTTATGGAATTGGTCTAATTAGGATAGACCTCTTGGGGATTAGAAACAACAACAACATAAGACAGTATTTTTTGCAGCATTTATTCTACTTGAAATATATGCGTAAGGGTTTGTTAACTTTGTTCGAAGACTACTACTGCAAATGATGTGAACATTTTAAAACAGTAAACATTTTATTATAGTATTCCTCGATTAGCAGTGTCATGTTGCGAAAGAATTTGTATCTAAATTCGAATGAATATTGGTACTGTGACATTTGGCAAACCCAATCTTTTCGTACACAATTTTTCCTGGTGAATTATGCAGTGGTTAACGAATAGTTCCCTTCCTGTGACCTTCTTAATGTCTTGAAATAGCCTTCCCGATACTCCTACCTTCATGCTTGACATTGCTCGTGCTCCATCTGTCGATATACCAATAATCTTTTCTAATGAAATTGAAAAATTTTCCAACACAGACTTCAGTTCATCGTACAGGTCTTTGCCGGATGTAGTCCCTTGCATTGGAATCAGTGAACACAATTCTTCGGTAATACTAAATTTGGTGTTAATACCACGTAAAAATATAGCCAGTTGTGCTGTATCGCAACTCTCATCAAGTGCCAAAGAACAGTATTCGGATTTTGCAATGCTTTCATGAAGCGTTGCTATGTTATCGAACAAGTCTTCAATTCTCCTTGCATTTGTGAATCTTGATAAACTAATGTTTGAAATAATATTTATTTTATCAGGAAATGCTATTTCTGCAACGGCAGTCAGACATTCTTTTATCATCTCTCCATCCGCAAAGGGTTTCATTTTGTTTGCCAGTATTTGACTGACAACAAAACTAGCCTTTACTGCCATATTTGATAAACTAGCTTTATTTTTTAAAATAGCCTGTAGGTTTTCCAAGTGTTTCTCCATTTGATTAAACTTATCTATCCGGAGTTGTCCTGTTAAGTTTTTATATTGTTGTTCATGTTTTGTATCGTAATGCCTTTTTATGTTATATTCTTTTAACGTCGACGCAGTCGCTGAGAATATCAAGCATGCAGCCTTATCTTTGAAGAAAGTGAAAACAATAATAAGCAGTTTAACTGAATTGCTTGTGCACATTTCAGAAGATGCAGATATGGTATCTTTATAGCGATATCTTGTGTCGAACTGCATTGTAGAAGTGCAGTAAAATTTTGAGGTGAATATTAATCTAAAAGCATGCCTCTACTTTTATTGAAAATTATGCATAAAATGTACACAATAGTAATGCCCATGGGAGACAATAATAGCTTTGCTCTCCTCAACGATGCCACGACCGTTTTTCTAACATATTTTATAAGATTTTAGAACATAAACCTATAGTTTAAGTAATTCGAATGAAATTAATCTTAAATTTGTTTATGAAGTTTAAGTACCATAAACTAATTTTTAAATGCCTTACTGAGTACTAAAAAACACAGAAAATCTAATAGCGATCCAAGTGAAACGGAAGTTAGAGTAAACACTATTCGCTATGAAGCGAAGTGAAGAAATTATGACTCCATCTGATTTGTAACTTCCGTCATGGCGGGTTACACGTTCGCAAAGTAGTAAATCCCGGACATTTTTAGCAACTCTTGATCCTTATTTGAACAACTATCATAATTAATGTCATTTTAACGAAACGAAGTTGGCCTTGCTGATTTTTTTTCTTTCCTTTGAATATACTTCTTCGCTTGGTCTTTAACGAGGAGTGCTTTAAATGTTATTTATAATGTGCTTAACATTTGCTCCGAGTAATGAGGTATTTACGACTTTTGGATTACAAAGTTTTACAACTTAAGCTTTTAATAAATAACTGAAATGAAATTTCTTTTTGTTTTCGTTGTACACTGCAAGAAAATAAAACAAACAGTTTGCTTTCATGTATTAATAAAAAAATGAGTCAAAGAGCAACCCTATTAGATTATTAAGCATAGTTTTTAATATCGAGAAAATCCCTGAGATGTGAGAATATTTTAAGGATAGACACTTAACTTCGTTTCTAAAGCTCGCATGCAGAAGTCTGTTATACATTTGTATAAATCTTAAAGAGCCTTATAGATAACTTTTAAACCCATACAGATGTCAAAAACGATGAATTCTATAAAATTTCGAACCCTAACTAAATCTGAAATGAATCAAGAAACAAGAACGGGAACAAGAACGGGACGGAACTTCCTAGTATAAACATTTTATCTATGTTTTTTTTTAACTGTTTTATCACTTTTTCTTCTCGTTTTGGTCACAAAAAAGCGATGTTTTCGCAAAGCCTACAGAGGCCTAATTTCTTGCGTTAAAAATATCGTTTTAACTCATTGTTAAGTTTTTCACTATAAGGATTACACTTCTATGAAGAATCGTGGCTGTTGCCATTTTAAAAGCGGAAACTTTAACTGTAAGAGCGAAAGCTGCTCAATCTTTATAACATCATTCTTCAGCGCATGTGTTATACCTTTGGACAAAATTTAATTCCGTTTAATCAAACGGTATGTTCCTCAAAGATACATATTTTATAACATATTTATCAGCACATTTTATAATCCCAAGCATATTTTATAATCTTATAATAACCCTTTATATATTTTCTGTATATAATAAATAAACAAGAAATATAGACTCCCATACACAGTTGATTTCTGTATTATTCATATCACGTCGTATCTAAGTACTATCAAATGACAATTTTTTTAAAAAAATAAGTTTAAAATAATGCGTACATTTTTGCAAGTCTGTTTCAAAACATCACGATTTTGTTTGAAATTTGATGACATTCCAACATCAAGATTGCGGCTATAATAAAAGACTTATGGCCACAAAATATTCTTTCCTCGGAAGCTATAACAATTCGTCACATTATTTTTTCGGTACTCTTAAAGTACATTTCTTGTTTAGGCTCTTTGCCAAATATCGTGGAATATTTATGAATAATATCTTTGGAATACTCAGACTTCATATGGAGGAAAATAATAAAACTCTTTGTATTGAATGATGCTGTAGTAATGAAGAACTAGTAAAACTCTAAACGTTTTATCATGCATAATATATTTTGTAAACTATAGTTCCATTTTAAAAAAAACGACGTAAGTTAGCATTGACTTTTGAAACAAAAAATATTTTTGTATCAAAATGTAGATTCAAAATGTGGTTCAGTTTAATTCAGTAGGTTTTAAAAAAATGTTTTCTTTGACCTACGTCTAATTTCAAAATACAAACATTGTATGTATACATTGCTTAATGAATAATCATAATAAACTGAAACGGAAAGATATAATTGATATGAAACTTCATTATCCTCAAAAAATATGAAGATCGTAATAAAAGTCAACATGTTTCGAGCGCTCAAAAATAGGTACTCATTCTCAAGAATGAGGAAGCATTAATCGTATGAATAGTTTTTGTCCAAAATATTAGGCTTAACGCAGCGTATCAATTAATACAGTTGATTTAAAAAAGGCAATACAAAATGAAAATATTAGGAGTCATTGAGAATTCACAAGCATTTTATTTTATTATATAACCCTGTCATATAACCCTGGCACTGTTAGAATTCCTGTTTCATCAACATTATAAATATCATTTGGAGTAATCCTATGTTTACTTAATAGAGAATTCAAAAGTTCAAAAAACTGCTTAACTGCAGGGCGATTAAACCCTTTTTGCTCGGACCATACCCGTGGGTTCTGGATTTCGGAGCCTAAGTTCTTCATGCCTGCCAAGAAATGATTACAACCAACACTTCCCAGCCATTTTTTCCCAGTGTTAAAATTATGCTTAATATTGTTTCTTTCAGCTAACTCAAATGCTAGCATTCGTATGTCCATTAGAGTTATACCAAATAATTTCTCTTCTAGAGCCAATACCAATACATTGCATTGTTCACGCGTTTTTTCTTGTTCAGCATTGAATACTGTCTCTTATCTGTCCAACTTTTTCACTGCGGCCAATCCAGGGTCAATGTATTTGTACGAGCCTTTTTTACCTTTCTTTCGATATAATAATATTAATATAGTAAAAGTATTAGGCCAACAAATAAATAGGGGGATAAAACGGGATATAAAAAAAACTCTATTCCTTTTTATCCAACTCATAAGTATCCCGTTTTGTCAGACTCAGACACTTTTCAAAACAAACATGGCTTCCGCCTGAACATGAAAGAAAAATTAGATTGACTAGACATGAGAATACTCGTTAATAAATGCTTCATCAAATGTAATACTCACAGGAATTGTAATCCTATATATATAGGCAGTACAATGTGAAAAACAACGCACGTAAATGTGGAAAGTGGCAAAAAAATGGAGTAAAAAAGTTCTGACATCTACAACTTTCTATCAACTAGTGATCTCGAGACGGTACGCACTTAAAATGATATAATCACAGTCAAATAACAACTTTTTGTCGTCGTCCGCTAGATAGCTGCAATAGTCTGGTCCCTAGGCGACGTATCCCGTTTTGTCCGACTATCCCGTTTTATCCAACTCTCCCGTACCACGTAATTTTGACCCAGATCAGACGACTTGGACAATGCATGAGCTGGTACCCTTTTTTCCAAATCACCGAGTGAAGAAATTGAAGGTATTGAACGTTGAATATTTCAAAATATCACCAATTTTAATACAAGAGAAATTTCACAATATAAGAAAACTTGGGTGCTTGTTTATTAAACTGTAACTGTAGAATGCCCATTTACGCATTTTCGTTTGTAATTCACTCACGTGTTTAGTTCTTATTTCATTTTTTTCCATTTATTTATTTAATTATTTTTTTGTTATTACCTCATCTTATCAAAGTATACCCAAACACAACGTATACCATCGATTTAACAATACTTTAAACATTGAAACTTGATTCACAAATAATCTTTAAGATACGTATTAATTTTCCAAAACACATATCAAATGAAGTCAAAATGTGTAACTAGCGATTTGTGCTTGGTATTTCTCTTTCCTTCTTTTTTCTCTCTCAAGGAATAGAAGCTTCTTTAATCAATACACCTTTCTCAAAGAGATAACGAATTTTCATCTGTGTCAGCATTTCTTTATTTTTCTTCTTTTCGATGGCGATAAAACTTCATTTTTGGCTTCATTTCTGGAAAAAAAAGTGAGAATGGTTATTTCTTTACGCAACTACATATCTGAAAAAGAACAGCTGTCATATAAATTTAACACACGAATTGACTTGTTTCAAAACCTGAAAAAAGTTAGAATTTAATGTTTTAATTGCTTGCAGTCTTAATCAAATATATTACACAGGTACCACAAAACTGAGGGGGACAGAGGGGGCTTTAGCCCCCTCACGTTTTGGGAATGGGATACAGCTCTTTTTAGATTAAAAAGTTTCACTCAATATTTGTGTTACTAAATTTGCAATAAAAAATGTTTTTTTGAGTCTAAGGAAATTCTAAAAAAAAAATTGAAATAGAGACTATCTACAGAAATGTTTTCATTCCAAGCGAACATTTCTTTAGGCAAAACTGTGACCAACTGCGGGAAATATATGTGACCCACGTGATTCGAATGAGTGATAACAATACAATAAAAAAGATATTGCTTTTTAGATCCACTTTAACAAGAAAGCGGGGAATGCCACGGTTAAGATGAGCTGACTCAGATCAGATTTTCTTGCAACTAGTGAAAAGAATTGGTGATAAAAGATAAATCGAAAGTCGTTATGGGGAAATCTTCAGGGGAAGGCATTGGCCCACATTGGGCTGTTTGGCCAACAATGATTATGATGATGATAAAAGAATAGAGAGTTATTTTTATAACAATTTAGGAATTTTATTGACCTTGAATTTGAACAGAGCGTTTTAAAATTGAATGAAGTATTAGCAAACTTTGATTTAACTTCCAAATTAAACTGAAACAAAATTAAATTTTCGTTTTTTATTTAGTATTGTATGTACTGTACTAATGATATACAATTTAAGACAGATTAATCAGATGTTGCAAAGCAGCGATGCAGTGGATGGATGGATAAAAAGTGGAGTAATGATCAGTCCGTGATAACTGAACAATTGAAAACCTTAGTCAAATAATTTTAAATTGCAGAAAAGATTAAGGTAATACACGCTCATTCTATGTTCTCTAATCCTAATTGACTGCGTAAATTTCATCCCTATAAAATGAAATGTATAGTTAAATAACAATTCT